ATAAAATAAGACTTCAATAAGCCAAACAAGATGATTGATAAAAGTTAAAATTAAAAAATTTTCTTTATTGTGTATCAATTATTAAATTATTTTATTTTTTTCTAAACGGTCAAAACCGGTCAGTCAACCGGTCGGTCGGTCAAAGGCCTTTGACTGACCGTTGACCGACCGTTAACCGACTATGACCGACCGTTACCATCCCTAATTTAGTTAACCGAAGTCATAAATTGGTTTATTGTGATAATATTATTGAATAAAACAGGTTAGATTCAACTATCCAAATGTCATCTAAGAGTAGCAGCAAGAAAATTAAAATATCATTAATGAGGAAATATTGAATTAACAACTTTTTTTTTCTTTTTTATTAAACTTGATTTTTTTATTTTTAATAATACATGTAATAGTCTATTATATGAATGCGCAGTACAATAAATTTTTTAATATATATAATTTTAATCGGGTAGCCGGGTTATGAAACATTAAAAATATAAAGTAAATGTAAAAAATTTTTTTTAAAAAAAAAAAAATCCGGGTGGCCGGTCATACCAATTTTATTATTTGTATCGCCTAATTATATAATTTATAATTATTTATAACATTTATATAGAATTTAATATAAATTTATATATTATAAAATTAAATCAATAATAATATGTTTTGTTAATTAATCAAGTAATTTGACTTACTGCTTACTTTAAAATCTAAAGCATAAATTATACAATAATAAGAAATCAATATGAAGGAAATCAATTGCATTATCAACACCAAGAAAGGCTTGATAGAATAGGTTTATCACGAAATCCCGACAGTAATAATCCTGACCCTGACAGATTAATCCCGATAATCTACAATCCCGACACTAACGTACACGAAAACCCGATAGGCATAAGTCCTGACAAACAAACACAAATCTTATATTTTTTATATTTAACTAATTCTAACCCTAACCCTAATCCCATACCCCAATTCCATACACTAATTCCATACCTAATCCTAATCCTAATATATGTCGGGATTTTGGACTATTCGGGATTTTTGTTTATTAGGTTTATCGACCATTGGAATTATGCTCGTGTAAAGATTATTGGGTGTGTGTTGTCGGAATTCTAGACCGTCAGGATTATGATTGACAGGATTTTTGGGGGAAACCCAATAGAATATACAATACTTAAAATCTTAATATTAATTTATTTCTATCTATATTATATAATAAATGCAACCGGTCACGTTTAGAATATTCTGTATAAATAATATATTAAATTAATTATTGCCTACCAGGGCACTTAGTATTTATTTTAAATATCAAATTAAATTTTACGACGAGCTATTCACTTGACCAGTAGAAAATTCATTCTCGTCATACATTTATTGCAAAATTCTCAAATAAAACTTTACACTATTTTGGTGATTTCACAATGTGACCTTTATGATGAATGGATAAAAATTTTTAATCATCATCCGCGCACCCAAAGATACATTTCTTGACTAATATCTTACACACTTTAAAATAAGTAATATTTAAGCGAATCTTCGATTTTTCCCAAATTTTTCTAGTGGTCGTCTGAAAGGCTTTTTTTTCAATGAGAAAAATGTTGAAAGGTTTTTAATTGACCAAATATAACGACATGTTTTAAAAGCAGTTCTGGATTAAATCAGGAAATTTATTAGTTTAAAAACACGTTCCCATTAATAGAAAATAGATTTATTATGGAAAATTTCGTGAGAATTATTAGCTTGAAAACAAACAACAATCACAATTTTGCACATGACAAATTTCCATAAATAAAATGTCACTAAACTTCCTTTAAAAATTATTTAGCCAAATTCAGCCACCCTTATTAAGATGATACAACCATTAATTTTCTATTAATTATCAGTTTTTGTTTTGATAATCCTTATGTTTTTTATTATTCGTTATATATCGATATAGTGTAATTTATAATGACAAAAATTGTTATAATTAATTATATTTAATAAAAAAAAAAAAAAAGTTGCTCTAAATTATATTTCCCTCCCAAAAACGAACATTAAAAAATTTAGAAAAGAGCGATGACAGCGGCAACAAAACCAGCAGCCGCAACATTGGTCATATCATGTTTCAAGGGTGCGGCTGCGCCATTTGATGTCGGTGACGAAGTCGTGCTCGTGGTCGTGCCAGAGGCCGTTCTTGTGGTTGTTCCGGTCGTGGTAGAACTGAAGGTACTAATTACAGATGTACTAGTAACAGAAGTAGGCACTTTTGAAGAAAAGAAAAAGCAAAATGTTAATTGAATAGGCTTTTTTATTAATAAATTCATGGTAAATTTACTTACGTGGTACTACTACGGTAGATTGATCTGGAAGAAGAACAGTTTCAGTAGACGAGGTTGTTGCAACAATTTCTGTTGGTGTTTCTCCTTGAGAATGAATGGTCACCGGTAAACAAGCGATTATAAATAAAACGATAAAGAATAAAGCAAAGGATTTCATCTTTGATATTTTGATATTTTTATTTTTTTTAAAAGGGATATTATGTAAATATTTTTTAATTTATTTTTGGTGAAGATGGATGAAAAATTTCTGTCTCCTTATATAAGGTTTCGTGGAAAAAGAGAGAAAATTAATTAAACAGTTGACTAATATAAATATAACATCATTATGATGATGGTATGAGAATATTTTATGGCGTTTTTTTCTTTTGATCTCTTTTTTTTTTTTAATGGTAAAATTTTGGAATTTTCTTTCAAGACGCCCCGTTATATTTTATGATTGATTTACGTGTTTCTTACATACCTAACATTCTAAAATGGAAGTGATGTTAAATTATTTTTTGTGATTTTGTAGTGTAACCTGATGTAACAATGACATAAATCAACGATTCGGGTAAAGATTTAGCACGTGACATGATAAAAACTACTGAATGATCTATTATGAAATCGGTTAAGCAATGAGAATTTATTTATTTTTATAATAAGATTAACGATAAGAATTCCGATTATAGATGTAATACAATATAATAAACATTATAAATAATTTTTAAATTGTTTTTTTTTTTTTTTTTTTGGTCTTTTTGAATCAACTATCGTATCGCCAAGGAAAATTGCCAAGATCCAAAAAAAAAAAAAAATACAAATTGCCCTTTTGTAACCTTTGTAACTTTCATGACGGAAAGATGCTGTCTCACTTTTTATTGATTTATTATTTGAATTCTTGACTTTGGTTATTTCGGTAATATTTAAAACAATTGGATTGTAAGGTCATTATTTTTGTTCCTGCATCTTTTTAACATTTGAATTACGCCATTTCCCGACATATTGGTAGATAACCCCCAAGATAATATTTTTTAAAACTTGAAGTGAGATCGGTTTAATAAAAAAATAACCAAATCAACTATATCTTTATATTAACTATATTAACTACTATATTATTTAACAAAATGAGAATATATATGAGCACTAAAAGGAAAAAAAAAATAAAAAAGAGGTAGTAAATGGATTACTTTCCCGAAGTACATCCATCATTGATTAATTATTAAATAATGAAATAAAAAAATTATTGTACAAAAAAGTTCATTCCCACAGAGAAAAAAAAATTAAATTAAATAGATATTAAAAAATTAATTAACTAACGCTAAGGAATTTCCTGAGATTGCACAGAACAAACAAAGGGTTGAGAAGCGTAATAAGATGGAATGGTCCAAGCACGTGCTCTCATTAAAAATGCGCCACTATCAACTCGAATCACTATTTCTTCAAAGTAAAATGGTTTTCCCCTGGCATTTACACCCAAATATGATAATAAATCGTTATGATTATTATACCTTATATTATCGATTTCAATACAAGTATCCTTTAGGAAGGATAGTTTCAAAGAAGGTGATAAAGTGAGTGTGCCTTCGGGCGTTCGGAAAGATTCTGTAAGAACACGAAAGGTTGCATCTTCCGCAGCATCCTTCATAACGAAATTCTCGAATTTTATTCCATTGCTCAAGTTTGAAGTTACGGTTGCTAGTGCGTTTCTTCCGTGAACCTCTAATCGATACAGACCCTTTTCTGGGCTTGGCTCTATCACGTTAGGATTCGTTTCATTATTGAATTCTGTTTCTTCATCATTGTTTTCAACGTTCAAATCATCATTTGTAACCTCATTGGTTTCATCATTATTCTTAACTTCAATTTCTTTGCTGCTTGTTTGTCTTCCCATTTTCAAAATGGGATTAGCATTATAAATTAAAGAACGAGAATCCCATCTTTCTAATTCTACATCTTTAATGTTTATAGCGACAATAGGTTCTTTCTCGGGTGCATAAGTTAAAATTTTCCAAGGTATCACCTTTTCGGGGAAATGCTTTTCATAGTTTTCTTCCAACAAATTTTGTAATCTCTCAAATCCGTAATACTTTACGTCCTCCAATAAATTTTTCATCGAGATCTTGTCTTTAACTGGCCAATCCACTTCATACATTCTTAAATATTTCACGATCATTGAGAAATTTGTTGGATCCCGATCGATAAAGATACTCGTCGTATTTGCCTCGGAGAAATGACCGAAAAATGCTGCCGTGAAAAAATTGGGTGCGTCACGATTTAAAGATTCCGAGGAGAGGCAAAAGGTACCTTCACCTATCTTTATATTATACGTTTGATATGTATCAATAAATGCTACCTTATTATTAAAATTACTTTTATCTGGGTTGGATATATCATTTTTATTTTTATTTTTGTTTTTATTTTTTTTTTGTTTATTATGTGTTTTATGATTATTTTGATTTTTGAAGGTGTTGGCCATCGTCAAATCTCCTTTGGGTTGTTTAGGGAAAAAATAAGAAAAAAAAAAAAGTGGAAAAAAAAAAAATTTATAATGGGTAGAAATAATCAGAAAGGACAAGTGATAAATTATTTTTCTCAAGGTCTCCCCTCCTTACTTATATATTATTATTATTTATTCATTCACTTTAAAACGATCTTTACCAAATTTTTATTTTTTTGAAGCCACCAGTTTTTAACAGTCGTTAATGATTCACGATGATTGCTTTATTCATTAAAAAATTCCGAATGATTTATTATATATATAATTTTTTTTCTTTGGATCATTATAAACCAAACGGAGTAACATTCCTATAACTAGAAATCATGCTAATTTGATTCGTGTAGAAATCAAATAAATTGTTCTATTTTTATTAATTTGAATCAATATATCAAGGTAAATCCGTGATATTCTCATTTTTTTTGTGGGGAGCTTTGATTATCATCATTAAAGAAGATCAAAACAATTCAAAAAAGGTAATTAAAATATGGGTTTTTTTTTCCTTCACTTTTTGTCTTGCTCCGTGCCTTTCTGATCACCCATCTCTTTTTCCCAATCCTTTTCAACATGACCGACAATACCTAATTGTTCAAAGAAAAAAAAAAAAAGTAAATTTAAATTCCTGACATATGAATTTCGGTATAAAGCAATAAAAAGGCTATTTACCTTTGCGATCGTTTACTCCTGGTGGATGTACGGTGTGTTCACGATCTTGCCACCTTACATCATCAATTTCAGGATTTTCTGTGGTTTCTGGGTTATCATGCCTAGGTAAAGCATGAAATACCACAGCGGAATTGGGATCTCGACCTAATAAAGAAATATTCTTGTCACACATCATATGAAATTAATGAATCATTACATTTTTTCATACCAATAGGAAGATTTTCGGTTCTTGGGTCAATCCTTTTCCTGCCTCTTTGATCGTCCATTTTTTTTTTTTTTTTATGTGGAGTAAAATATTATGGGTAGAATTAATTAATAAATTAATTATTAATTTAAAAATTAGAAAATTATTTTCGTAGGGTTGGCGAGAAAAATTCGAAATGGATGAATTGAATTTATAATTCTTTTTTTTTTTTCCTCCGAAAAAAATTATCATAACATCGTAATGGTGACGGAATGACATAATTATTGTGTAAAGTTGCGAATATAACCAAGTTTGGATAAAACTTAAATGTTCTAAATGTCGTTAATCTTAGATTTTCTCAATTTAATTAAATATCATATGGATTTACAGTAATGGATTCTATTTAGAATGTAAATTACCTTTTAATCATATGACTGATTAATCTAACTAAAAATTTAAATATGCTTTTTATGAATACTTAAATGGAAATAATTTCTTTCTAGGAAAAGCTTAGTGTGAGAAATAAAGTTCACGATATTGTCGATCATTAATTTACTATGAGAAATTTAAGTTATTCTTCCGAAAATTATCTTGCAGATCAATTATTCAATGAATTTGGATGACAAAAAGCCAAAGTACATGGAATTATGAAAAAAAAAACATAATAAACGTAATGTCATAATGATTCTATGATACATCATTGCCAGAAAATTTGGTTAATAAATCGTAAAATATCTTTACTCTTTCTTCGGTTATTACTTTATCTCGTGAAAAATTGAGTACTTGCAGCGAATTAAGAGAGGTCGCTCGGGATAACGCGACATAAGTTTGTCCTGCCGATTAATTTTTATTAAATTTAAAACCTGATAAATGATAGAAACTTTAATGAAACAAAATAATTTTACCTCTTTCAAACACTTTATTTAGGTCAACTTTTACGCGTTCTAAGGTTTGTCCTTGACTTTTATGGATGCTAATTGCCCAAGAAAGAATGAGAGGAATCTATATGATAAAAATCGAAAGTTTTTTTTTTTTTTTTTAAAAAAAAAAAAAAGAAATTAAATAACGAAATTAATAAAATATGTTGTTCCCCTCTTTTTCTCTATTAATACGTAATGGATATTAACCTGTATACGTCGGGCGACGACATGATCGGTTTCATCCCTTAATGTCCATTCAGTCCAAGGAATAATCTTGATTTGTCCATTAGTAAATTTTACAACAGGCAATACAAAAGTTACATCATCACTTGGAACTTCATCATGTTCATCATAAAATTTCATGGATGGTATGGAAAACCATCCAACCACAACGCCTTTACTACCATTAACCAATTGTTTTGTAAAGTTCTTAGTTAACATGACTTGAGCGTTAATTTTAAGCGGTAATTTTAACGGTGCCAGGCAGCCTTTGATGAGCGATCTCAATTGACCGTAATTTTTAGGTTCCCAATCTTCTGCTTTAAAAATAAATTGTTGATTTGTATTGAATGCTAATTTCATATAATTTACTTCATCAACCATCCTGTTAACAGGATACCTAAACAAATATAAAAACAAAAATTAAAATTCGAAATTCGAAATTTCTTTTAAACAAAAATTAAAAATAATAATGTACAATTCGGTTACATCAATTCCATCATTTTTGTATTCAGGTGCTTTATCTAAGTTATTTATGGTTTCGATGGTTTTTTCCGACATCGTTCCAAATCTGATCTCATTTAACATCTTAATAAATTCTATTCAATTGATAAAATTAGATACAATTTTCAAATGATATAACAACTTGTAAGAATAACGACACCTTGTTCGGATTGTCGATGTACGGTGGTTAGTTGAATCGCATGATTTAACGAATTCCATGATTCCGCTTCAAAACAATAATTTAATACTTTGTTGACAGGAGGAAGTTGACAAAAATCTCCCGTTATAATTAACTATACATGTATATATGTGTGTGTGGTTAGTAAAAAAAATTTTTTTTTTTATAAAAACAAAAAAAATTTTAACCTGCAATCCGCCAAAGGGTCTTGTGTCACAACGAATATTTTTGACCACATGATTCAATCTATCAAACAATTCAGCGTCAAGCATAGAAACTACCTTTCATCAAATAAATATAAAATCTTAAGTATGTGATTCTACAAAACGACAACTTTTTTTTTTTTAAAAAAAATTCATACCTTCATCGATTACCAACGCTTTGATTTTCATCCATCTTTTTACTATCCTACGAGATCTATTAAGATGTTTATGAAGACTTTCAATGTTCATTAAACTCGATTGAGGCGTAAATCCAGCAAAAGAATGTAGCGTTTGTCCACCAATGTTTATTGCCGCGATACCAGTCATTGCTGTAACTGCAACTGAAGATTTCCCGTACTTTTTTCTTAAGTCGCTGATTATCGATCTTAAAAGTATGCTTTTACCGGTTCCTATCAGTAAATTCAAAAATAAAATTAAGCGTGTAAAACATATATTTGAAATTTTTTTATTTATTTTGAATTTAACATTTACCTGCGGCACCTGTATAAAATACATTATCCTCTTTTTTGAGAACCAAATCTTTAACAACTTGTTGTTCATTGCAAAGATTGACTGTACGTAAAGCATCTAACTTCGCCTAGATTTACATTTAGAACATATTGAGACGCATGAATCATGCTTGGCACCCTTTTGCGACAAAAACATCTGATTACCTGATATGCGTAATCCTTATCTGACAAGTGCGGTTCTTTTGAAAGCTAGAAATATATCAAATGTACTTTTTCTATTTTTTTGAATTTTAAATAACCGAAACTGGTGCAATTGTGAACTTACAAGTTTTAAAGTTTCCAGACGAGTTACGTGAACACCTTTATTTTTAAAAAGTTTCCAATTTATATTTTCCAATAAACTAAAAACGCTGGCGGTTCGGAGACTACACATTTTTTTTTTATTTCTTAAATACACTTGAGATGATCAGATTTGAACGTATTTATTGGAAAGTCCGTGCGCGTTCCAAGTGTCTGAATAAGGTAACAATGAACGTGAAATGAACAATGAATATCATGCACATGTAAGGCACGTTGTCAAATAATTAAGAGAGACAATTTATTTACGATTTCAACTTGAGTACCACCACACCAATTCTACAAAGAAAGTTGAAAATATTCGAATTGAACTTTATTTATTGGTAGAGTTTCCAAGCTTTATCCAAAGACTTGTTGTCATTACAAGGATCCTGATCCTTACTACAACAAATAATTAAAATGGGTAAAAAAAACTAAACAAAATAAGAATTACACCGATAACAACCTTCACTCCAAGATACTTTATCACGATATTGAATTATAATATTCCAAACTAAATAAAAATATGTAAAAAATATATATACTGCGCGGTCGATCTACATGATTTCTTTAATAATAAATCTATTCATTTCGCTTCCGTAAATTACTCATCAGTGTAAGTAACATTGATCCAGAAAATGAAGATTTTGAAGAGGACTTTTCTATTTTTCTTTGTAAAACAGCGGAATATATAGCCGATATTAAACCATTCAACAACGAAATTGAACTCATCATAAATGTTAACAGCGGGATAATATCATAAGAGACTGTATTGAACTTGTAAATGACCTAATCAAGAAAGGAATTTATTAATATGATAATGATGATAAATCCTTTTAAAAAAACCATTTCTACATTACCTGAATAATAAATTGAGGAACGTCTTCAATGAATAAAGTTATAAATCCGCCCCAAAATAACCACCATCTGGCCCTTTCACTAAATTCAACGGATAATACTTTTAACCCAGCAAATCTTGAAGTCAATATGTTCATCGCATCAAGATGTGCTGATGACACTATTGTAATTAACGATATGATTTTGCCATATTTTGAAAACCATTCATGAAAGCTTTTATTCGTAGAAATTTCATGAATTATGATTAGGAAAGCGCATGTAGAATTAAAACATATCGAGACGCATAAGATTAATATGCTAAGAAATAAAATAAATCGATAAATAAAAATATCTATGAGAAGATGATAATAATTCGCTCAAAAAAAGAAAAAAAATTACCTCGGAAAGAATAACCAAGGAACTTTTTGAACATCAAATGAAATAAATAAAAGATCCAATACTAGATCCATTATAATCATTAGAAACGTAAACATTACAAAATTATTTCCCTGCAGTAAAACAAAAATTTTGATTATTATTTTTGATTTGATTTGATCTGCATAACAAAGGTTAATAATATATTATAATATTTGCCTCTTTATATTTATAACAAGCAAACGCGTATAGTAAAATTAGTAATCCGAATGTTATACATAGGATTATTAAAATTATTTTATAATCCTGCCATAAAATCGCTAAAAGATTTTTAATAAATTTAACATTTAAGAGGGTAAGTTCAAGAGAAAAAAAACAATTTTACGCATTTTATAATAAAAATTTACATACGACTTATCTTAAAACCATAGGTGTCATCCAAGTATGAAAGATGATTAGTATCTTTGATAGGTCCATATTCTTTATACGATAATAATGTAATAAAATTATTCATGATTTCTTCGGCACTTTTTAGTGTTTTATTATAAGTGTCATCAATGGTTAATGATAAAATAATGTGATCACGAGATTCCGAATCATGTTGAAAACCTGATGAAACCTTGATTCTCGATTCGTCAATTGGTATTATGTTTGACAATTCTTTAGTCATATTTGCTGCGAATGAATTTTTTAACGTGCTATTGAAGGATAAATAAGAATACGATCCTTCAATCGTTAATCTAAACAGTCCGTTTATTTTATCTGTGAATCAAATTGTAGATTAATTTGTATATCAATTGAAATATTAATTCTAATAACTTGACTTACTTGAGTAAGTGTATTTTTTATTTCCTAATTAAATGAAAAGAAACAATTTTTTTTGATTAATTAAGCTATATTTCTTAGATTGAAACACAATAGTATCATACAAACTTACTTGTAGTTAAAGTCCATAATCTTTTACAAATTCCAAGCAAAGCCTCATGAGATATTTGACTTTTTACAAAATTATTTTGAACCTTTATATAATAATTCCCTAATGGTTCATTAAATGTGCTTGGAAATACTTTAACGGTTACAGTTTTATTATCTGGACTAATTGAACAAAAATTTGAATCAAGACAACTAAAGCTCTGTCTTAGCAAATCATTTGTCTCATCTGATAATTTTTGATAGATTTGTATATACTTTGTTGAAAAACTTACCGGTTCAACATAAGTTATTGAAATGTTCGTTATCTGTTCATTAATTATCGAGTTTATAGTTGGATTTATTGACATTATTGTTGGATTGTTAAATTTGTTTTCTAATTAGAAAAGGATTAAAAAGGATTGAAACTCTGTTTATCTTTTTTTTTTTTTTTGGAAATATTTTGTTTAATTCGTGATTTAATGAATGAATGGAATTACCTGAACCACTAAACTTTGGTACCCGAGAAATCATCATTTTCCAAGTATTATCAGGTTGCTTTTGAATGATCTTAATTTCATTGTTACTCATTACGGAATACATTAAATTATATGAACCATTATTATAGTTTTGAAGTGGCAAGGGTTGTGGTAAATCCCAACCTCCATATAGCGTTCCATCTGTATGTATGATGTATCCATATATGGAATCATTTTCGAAAGCTACCATCAAGTACCCACCAAATAAGAAAGGGTGTAAATTTATTCCAAATGAATGTGGTATGGATGGTAATTGCACGATTCTTGTCACCGATCTAGTTGAAAAAAATTTTTAAATAAATTATCATAATAGATTGAACATGTCAATACTAAATGATCATATGAAACGTACCCGGAAGAAAGCAACGAGACTTGTAAGATGTAAGGAATAGGTTCATTTTCTTCCGTAAATTTAGTATAGCTGATAATGCAAGCACTTCCATTCCCGATATAATCCACATCACAATTGATTCCGCTAAACTCCAAAGATTTTGAAGAAGTTTGATGTATCAAGAAAGGTCCATTCAATTTATCTTGAACATCGTGAAAATAAAAATAAATATAACTTTCATAATACTCTTGGTCTATTATTGCATTGGGAAAAGTGTCAGATAAGATGGATTTTGTTGTGTATGATATCGCAAAGCCTTGATTTACAATCGGATATGACCAAATGCCAAGAACATTCTTGTTATTTATCGTTCCGTTAGCGAGAGGATGAATATTTCCTGTACTATCTCTTTTAATTTAAATACATAAAACATAGACAACAAATATAATGAGAAACAATGTATCCATCGCGTACGATCAAAGAAAGTAAATAATCAAGTAATGGGACTTACGGTAAACTAAAATGTTTCCAATAAATATATTCGCCATCATGAGCTGAAAAAAAAAATCCGTCTTCCGGATTTAAATTTGAAATTATAAATGTAGGTCGTACGAGGTATCCTTCAACCTTATGATAACAAGCCGGATGAAGATAATTAGAACTAAGTTTTAAATAGAAAAAATTTTTTTTTTTTAAAAAAAAATAATATTAAAAATAAAAAATATATATATATAATTTGCATGACACGATAATTTGTATGACACGAAACCTTAGGACCTTCCCTTCCCAAGATATGGTAATTCCAAACAAAGAAGCTGAAGATTTTTCAACAGTGTTATAATAGGATAAAATAAAAAATCCGCTATTTAGAGAAGTGACTGTTAAATAATTCGTTTTTCCATCTTCCATTAGACAAAAATTAAATTCGGGGACTCCATGATCTGTTATTTTGATAGAGCTCATTGTATTATTCGGATGATAAATGTGATAGTGTAATATCGGGTCCCAACAATTAGGAATGGAAGGATGAGGACGTTGAAGTTGCACCAAAATCGTACCATCTACATACAAAGTTCTTTTTGTCAAAAAAAGATCATTTTCTGGGTCTGTAAAAGTGATATTATTGTATAATGCATTCGTTGTACAAATCGATAAAAAAGATAAAATAACGAAGAATAATAAAACACAGTTCTTCATCTTTTTTTATTATTATATGAAGAAAGAAACGATTATTTCTTTTTTTTTTTATCTTTATATTCAAAATTCGTCATCCGCAGCAACTTTATTATTTGAAATATCTTATTGGTTAAAATATATATATTCTTTTTTTTGGTCATTTTTTCAAAAAAGGTAATCCATTAATAATTATTATTAATATAAATAAAAACGAATTTTTGAAAGGATAATTTTAAGGAATAAGGAGTTCTTTGCTGCATCGGAGACGTTTATTTTGGAATAATTAATTTTTCTTTCTTCAATAGCCTTTAAAGTGTTAATGATTGTAACCATATGTAAGCATTGTTTTATTTGTATCCTCCGATCATTAATATGGTAACACCGGAAATCTAGTGGTTCTCCACATTATTTGTATTAATCTCTGGAATCTAAGAATTTTTATCGTTAAAACTGAAACTCAATTCAAATTATTAATAAACTACCAATGATTTTAATTCTCATTCAGTTTCAAAAAGATTTACTCAATGTATCAGCCATTCATCATTTAATTTTCTTGAAACAAACAAACAACTGAATTCATAAGTTTAATAATTCGGCGGGAATACAAATTAAATTATTAATTATCATTGAAAATGAAAAGACGAAATGACAAAGAAAGTTAATTTCGTTATTTTTGTCAACCAATAATGTTTTTTCTTGATTAGAAGAAGTGCATTGAAGATCAAAAAGTCCAAAAGATGGTTCAGTCATCCAAAGCTTTAGAAAATGCGTTTCTGTGGCTTCAAAGCATTTATAAAAAGTCGACCGTTTTTTTTTGAATTATAATCATTAACAAAAAAAAAGACCACAAAAAAAAAATCTAAAATCCAAAAATCACAATATAAAGTCATAAAGTAAAACAAGTAAAACACTCTCTCAAAAATGAAATTTTATGCTACTTTGTTCATCTTGATCTTGTTCATCATGATTGTAAATTCTATTCCTCTCGTTCTTCAACATCGCGGTAAGTCATTTTATTTAATTGAAGTTATTTTTTAATATAATTCTTTTTAGTTATTAAAAAAAGAAACTTTCTACCATTTATTATATCTTTAATTCATTGTAGGGTGTTGTGGATACGGTGGAAGATGTGGACGTTGTTGTATTTGCATTGGTTATAAACAACCTCCTTCCACTACTGCTATATAATATTTCGGTTTATTACGATAAATTTATTCTGATACTTTATAAAATGAAGTAGATTATTGTATTTATTATTATTGTTTTTATAATATATTTCATGAATAAAAGCATTATGCTTTCACCTTTTATTTTACCTTTTTATCTTCGCTTCGCTAAAGAACGATACATCATGCTTTGCACATGTAAACTTATTTTATTGGGCATCCCGCTTAATATTGTTGACGAATTACGTACTTTGCTTCTACAGTCAGAACTCGATATAACGATTCGCGATAAACTGATTTTGACTTATAATGAACTTTTTCTTAAACCAAAAATCACCTATAATTAATTTTATCACATTTACCGACTTTATTACAAATTTCGCGATAATATATACCGTAGTTTAGTTACAAACCAGCCATATCTAAAATTTTCAATATATCGATATCTCGATTTACTACTATTGATCATTGTTATTTAAATAAATAATAAAATTTTTTTATATACCGGATTATTCTTAAATGGTAAAATCAAGTGTGTTATTTATTGATTAAATAATTAGTGTTCTTTTTTTTATCATCATACTTCTATTCTTTGCCATGTCTTCCGAAAAAACGTGTTACGTTGTCCATAGAAAAAAGTAGGAGCTTTGCCTAAAAAAACTAATAATCCATTAAATCCATTAACCTAATACAATTTGTGATATTTTAAAAAGGAAAGTATCTATTTCTAGTTCTGACAAAAAAGAAAAAGGTCTCGCGCCAATGGTACTTGTACAAAGAAATCGATGAAGCGATGTCTTAGTTTTTTGTCTATGAACCAAACATTGCGTGAATCATTACATGATTTAGGATGGGTTAATTAATTTTAAAAAAAAAATTAATCTTCGATCATATGCTAAATTAGGTTACCTTTTTGCTAACTTGTCAATGTTACAGATGATGATAAAATCAAACCATCCATTAAAGATCATATAGAATATTATTGGAATATAATTGCATAGATGCAGCAATCAATTTGGTTAGACTATTTAAAATTTAAATAGTCTAATATGGGCTCAAGAAAATTAATTCTTTTATTAGTAGATAATGCACTGACTCATGAAAAAGAAGATAAAGTTCCTTCTTATAGTAGTAATAAATTATATTATTTACTATTAAAGATTACAACACATTTACAATCTTGAGAAAAGAATTATCAATTCATTTAAAGCTAAATATCTGTAGAAAATAAGGTTAAGCATATGATTTTGCATGAGATAAATAATAAAACAGCTCCTATCATAATTTGTAATATTTGTAATACAATTGAATTTGTTATAGAAGTATGGAAAGTAAAATCTATTACAATTGAAAACTACTGAAAAAAAACTGTGATTCTTTCAAATATAATGATAAGCAAGATTTGAAAAGAAAGATAATTTTGCTATTGCTAAATTAATTGAAAAGGAAGATCAATGAGATTTAGAAATTTGATAAACAAAGTTACTATTTAATAATTCTATATCTATATATAATTATATAAATACTAATAAATTAAATGGATTTTTTTTTATTAAATGATGAAATTATTAAAGCGATAAGACTAAACCTAAATGTAGAAGATTATGATAATAATAAAATTATTTTAGTATTTCTTTAACAAAAGCATTAATATTGTGAAAATTTGATTAATTTACATAATTTCTTATCAGAATTTTGAAATAACCAATGAAGAATTGAAAATATTAGGTATAAACTATTGAAATATAAATCAGAATTTTATTACAATTAAGTATAAATAAATTTGTTAATTTTAATTAGTACTATTTTTTTGTAATTTAGGTAATAATTCTTTTTAATATAAATATAATAAATAATAAAATATAAATCTTAATAAACTGTAATAAACTAAGGAAATAATGAACTTAATGAATATAATATTAATAAATCTAATGATATAATGAATAATCTTAAATAAAAATACTCATCTAAACCTCTTCAAAATTTTATAATTAATTTCAGCAAAATTTTAATAAGAATGTGATATTATTTTGTTATAGTTTCTTCAGTTTCAGCATTTATTATAATAGTTTTATTATTTGGTATTTTGTCAAATAAAATCCTTTAGTTTCTCTTATAAACTTAGTCTTAAATATTAAGAAAAAAGCATTTAATTTATTGATTAGATATATAAATAAAAATAATACAAATTTTTTGTAATATACTAAAATTTTACTTTTATTAACTTTAAATTAATATATCAAATATCAAAAAAATTTAATTTTCAAATTCTCTTTATATTAAACTAAAATTACTAAATTAAATGTTTTGTTGTATTAAATTCTATTTATATTATATAATTTATTAATATATTAATTAATATTCTAAATTTATTATTAAATATAAATATGTATTGATTTATTTTCTTTAAAAATATCTGGTATAAATTCAGTTTTATTATTATTAATTGTTAAAGTATCTTTTTGATTAGTTTTTGTATTTTTTTTAACTAGTTAAAAAATATTTACAAAAAAATAAATGAATTTATTTTAAATAAAATAATAAATAAATAATAAAAAAATTATTCTTAAAAATTTTTTTTGTACTAATAAAGATATTAGAAGTTTAATTGTTATTAATTTTTGCTTATTTAAAACTTAAGAATATAAAACAGCTCTAAAACTTATAAAAATTTATTTATATTTAATAAAAATAAAAAGTATTAAATTTATACAAACTTTCTGTTTTTTGTTTATAAGAAAATTCATTAAATTATTAAAATAATATTTTATATTTTTTTTTTTTTATTTTTCATAACTAGTAAATTCTAAATTCAATATATAGGGCAAATGCTATGAAAAGAGATCAAATTGTAAAAAAAAGCTTTTTTAAAATAATTAAAGTTCTAGATCAAATAATAAAAGTTACATCTAATTCATTTAGAAATAATTTTTTGAAAAAATTATCAATTTGGTCTCTTTTTGCAGCACTTACTTATATATTAAAACTGATAAAATTTTATTAATAATAGTATTAAATTTATATTAAAGTATTTTCATAAAATGATTATATTTATAATTTACTTTAAAATGATTTTAAAATATTCAATTATTTTTAACAGATAAAAATATTAAACTTATTTTATTATATATAAGTTCTTTATTTACTTTGTTAAATGTTTAACAAAAAGGTTTAATATAAAATAGAATAGTAGTTTTAATTTATATAAATATTTATTATATAAATAATAAAGAATATCAAATTATAAGTATTATCTCTGTTAACATGTTTATACTAAATATTTTTTTTTTATTTTCTTATTTTTTATGCTCTACTATTCTTTTTCCTTTTATATCTCTTTACTTATTCATATAATATAACTATTTTAATAAATACAATGGACAATAAAAAAAAAATATAAATAGAGTTATTCAACTTAATGATTTTATTTTATATAATAATAATAAAATATATGAATTATTATTATTATATTAAAATAATGAAATTAACAAGTAATTTCTTATTATAATTTTTGATGAATTTAATATAAATTATATCAAAATTTTAAATTTTAATTTCTAAAAAATGATTTATATAAAACTATAAAGTTTAAAAAGTAATAAAAAGTAATATTAATATATATAAATGATTAAAAATTAATAAAATATTAATATAGATTAAATATTATTTTTATTTCTTGGATCATAGGATTTTGCAGGCAATATTGCCTGTCTATTTACTATAAATTCTCTTCTGATTTACTTTTAATAAATAATTAATATTTTTTTAAATATGTAATCAATTATAATAAGCTTTGTCATTTAATTATAATAAAAAATTAATGTTAATTAGAAGTTAAAAAATTATAATTTTTAAAAAAAAAATTTATTTTAAATAATTTTATGATTATCGCTATTTTTATAATTTCTAAATTATTAATAAATTAAGATTGAATATGACTGAGTACAGCTGAAAATATTTTATAATAAAATTACTATAAAATATTGTGACTAAATGTAACTGATTATAACTGATAAAAAATTATGAAAATAGCTATAATCTATAATAAACTTTTTAGAATTACTTTTAATTATATAAATCATAATATAATATTATAAAATTACTTATAAAGCAAAACTTTTATTATTATAATTTTTATAATTTATTAAGAAACTTTATGATTTTAATTAATGATAAAATAATTTAATTAGTACATAAACATATAAATTTTTAAAAAATTATTATAATGATTTTTTTTTAAAATAAATCATTTTAAAACGTTTTAAAAACTTAAAATCTTTATTAATAAAGTTAATAATATATATATTAAACTATATTTTTTATATAGTAATGATATTATTGAAATAAATATTTAACATTTTATAAAGAAATTAACATTTTTTTTTAATTCATAAGCAAATTTGTCTGCTAAACAGTCTAAGGAATTATAATAATTTTAATATTATTTATTCAATTATAATATATTTACTATATTTAATGCAAATTTTTATATTAATTTTATCATAATAAATTAAGTTTTTATATATTAAATCAGCTTTTTCAATATATTTTTTGGAATTTCATTTTGTAATTAATAAATGAACTTAAAAGATATTTTTAAAATTCTAAATTTAATTTATTATTGAAAAAAAAATTTTAAATTATTTGTATTAATTATTTTAAATAAATAAGAATAATTATCACTTTAGTTTAAATCTTAGATAATTATACAAATTGATTTGAAGATATTATAATATAATTTCTAATATATTTCTTAAACATCAGCATCATTTATATCTCTTTTAAATATAAATAATATTATCATTTTATATTCAATAGTTTATATAAAAATATTAATTGAGTATTATATATTTTAAAAGAATTTAATGAAATAGATACTTCTTTTTCAATTAATGAAAAGTAATAATAAAATAAAATCAATATAATTTTTTTTATCATTAAACAACTTAAAAATTTATATTAAAAATATGTTATATGGATTAGATTTCTAGAAAATCAGATTCTGAATAAAATTTAGCTCTTAGTGTATTTTAATAACATCATTAAAAATTGAAATGCTATAAAAATCAAAATTTTTAAAAAATTCTCAGAACCTGATTTTTTTAGCAGCCTTTCCATATAATATATTTTAAGATATAAAAGATGATATTTCTATTTAGTTTCTTTTTATTAGCTGAAATTATGTCGATCATTTCCTAAGTTAATGAATTATAAAATTTTATCCAATTATTTTAGATATACGGTAAATACGGTTTTTTATGATAAATGACTTTCATTAAAAAGATAAAAATACATAATACTTTTCATTTAAAAGGTGTATTTCTAATATGTTAAACATTACATAAATGAATCAATCATGTTTTAAATTACATTTACGAAAAGGTTAAGGATGCCTTTGTAAAAAGAAATTCTCAATCACGACCAGAATTTTTTTTCTATCACTAAAATTAACAGATTATCAGCTTGATATCAGGTCTCTCATATAATCGAGTCCCTTATTTTATCCGAAAAACTTTTTGGAATCAACCTGTATATATGTAATAAAGAGCAGAGAAATTAGTAATTGAAAATAATTAACAAATTTATATGATAAATCACATCATTAGACAACGTATCAGAAGCGTGTAAATTGTTTGGCTGTACACTTTTGTCATATCCACATGAAAAATAACTCGGCCTGGGGCGACAACTTGTTCATCATTCATTATACTACATTCAAATAATTATTTTCTTTTTTACCATAATCTTGAAATTTTTTTCTTACCTTCAACTTTAACCATTAAATTTGACAACGGATACCATACTTTTCAAAGCTAATCGTAACCAGGTAAAGAAACAGAATGTCGTTAACAAATGGCTTATCTAGCGTATTGAGAAATCAAACGTAGAAAGTTAAAAACAAATTAGCATAATATACAACTGATTAACCGCAACTATCTATATAAACTTAATACAAACCAATAAAGTTTGTTAAACTCCTTATTGGATCTTTCATGTCTAAAACATCTTTGCCCCGGCTATCTTTAACTGGTATTCCATGTCGGATTAAATTATATAAATTACCAACTTCTAAACAAGTTTGTATTCAACGGTTCAATCTTATTTGTGACTTTGTCCTTTAAAAAATATCATCCAGTTGCTCGTTTTTTGACTAAAATTTTATTCCTAAGGAGGAAAAACAAAAAATTTTCAAGCTACAGTGACAATGAAATCCAGTTTTATCCGTATATATGTTTGAAAAACTTTTTTCAGATTTCGAAAGGTAAAAAAGTGCATTCTTTTTTTTCAAGGATTGACAAAAGTTTGATAGATTATCTAGATTTATTATTGAAAAAAATAAAAAAAAATGATATGGTGATACGAAAAACGTCATGATCATTTTTATGATTTCCAAAAACATCCGGATTTACCTTTCTATATAGTCACACCCATATTTATTATTTTATTAGACTCGATTTGGTGGATTATATAATTTCTTTTTTGATTTTTTTATGATCTGTTCGGATTTTAATCTAATAGTCTTAATTTCTTTTTGTTTTTCATCCAGATGCAGGTTAAAGCGTTAACAGGCGGTTATTCAAGTCTTCGCGATATTAACCCTAGATAGTAAAATTCATAGCTGTACCCAAACCTCCGAGAATTCCATCCGCAGGACCAGTAAGCCTGTAATTAGTTTTAAGTTATCTCACAAGATGCAAACAGAATATTCTTTTTCTTAAATATAACTTTATCACTAAATAAATACTTTCATAATCATAGGAGGACTAAAAAAAAAACTAGGTAAGAAATTTTTTAAACGGTCAATTCGATGAAAGGTTCATTTGTAAAATTTGTAAAGGGGGAGGTTAAACATTTTTCCTGATGTAGAGGTGTGCGAATACAAATCAAACATTTTTTGAATATTTGAATAAAAAATATTAGAGGAAAAAATGATAATTTCTATAAATTTAAACTTTTTCGAATGATGTTTCGGGTACAATTTTAAAAAAAATCATCGCACAAACCTTATTTTACATGTAATTCATAAAGTTGGCCAATGATAATTCCTAACTTTGTTATTTTCCCTTTAAAAAGTATTTTAATTTAAATTGGCCAATTTATTTACATATATAACGGACCAGATAATTATTAATTTTCTACATGAAAAAAAAATATATTCACTCAGCCTCTTATTATCACACCAAAGATTACAACTTTCATTGGAAAATTCAATCGAAATAATTTTGCCATATTTGTAGACAAAGGGCAACCAGGTTTTTGAGGTATAAAGTTCTTGGCCAATCGGCTAAGTTTTGGCCAAGCCATATAATTATTGTGTTATTATACAGTGCGAAAAGTCTCTAATCCGGGTCGGAACAAAATCCTGCCATATTTGGTAGCTTACATTCAAGTTAACCGTAATAGTTCTTTTAAAAGATCCACTTACCATATTCTGACATTTAAAATTATTCCGAGAAATATCAACAAGCAAACCAACCTCAAATGGTTTCTCCGGTTAGGTATATAAAACAATGTGCAGCAATAGTTAATGAATCATTTAACTTGCTTTGTTAACATTAAAATAACGTTAGTGCATGCATGTTAATAAAATTTGTTGACCATTTGAGTGTTATTTATTTGATGTTTATAACTATGATTTGCAAAACATTCATAATTTTGTCATAATCTGACTTATGCTGCGGAACCGTAACGTCGAATCATTTTAAAATCACCTTATCATGTTAATTTAATAAGTAGCCATTTGGTAAATAGGGTAAATAAAATAAAGGATCACAAGAGGATTACGAACTATTTGTTTATTTATATGCCACATACTTGATCTTAAAATCATTTTTTGTTGCTTATCAAAAAACATAACAATTGGCGCCTCAACTTAATGTGCAACATACCTTTTTTTTTTGTATATTTAATGCCACAAATTTTCTGTGTCTGTTACTTTTGGAACTACCATTTCCCTATCTAAATCTTCAAAGAGTATTAAAGAAGATGATAAATTTACCTTCGTTGTGTTTGGAAAAGATTTTCTGGTCAATATATAACGATGAAGTGTTGGATGACGACCAGATTAGCACGATGATTTATATGAGGAAATCATTATTTAATTGTTTATTGGTTAATCGGCATTTTTGCAGACACGTTATTCCAATATTATGGCGAAACACTTTTAATTGGCATTTACCTTCCGCTAAATTAGTCATATCATATCTATGCTTTCTTTCACCGAAAGCGAGATCTTTCCTTTCACATCGACTAGACATTGATGTGAGAGGTTTATTGAAATATTGTGGTAAAAAGACACCATTCTTCAATTACGCATCATACTTGAGAGAATTAGAATATCGCAGCGTATTAAAAAGTGTACAAGAATTATGGCCTGAAAATCACAACACATTGTATACACCAGACAGCGTTGATTATCAGTTGTTGATGGTTGAAGAATTATGTAAAATGTTTTTGTCTCAATGCCCCGTATTGATCAGATTAGATTTGGCAAATGAATCGAAATTTCAAAATCATTTTAGATTCACTCCAATCCCATTACAACCTCTCGCGTATCCTTGTTTGAGTAAATTGCGAGAATTTAAATTCGGTAAACATCCTGATCAATTAAAAGTGTTCAACACTTTATCAAAATTTTGTCATAACATTGAAATAATACAATTGAGCATTTTTAATCATCATGATCCTACTTTTCAATTTGATGGGTCACTTTACGAGGGAATTCATGAACTTATAATTTCTCAAAGGTATTTAAGAGAATTCATTTGTTCTTTTGCTCAAAAAGGTTTCTTATCCGTTATCGGTCCCGCTCTCTTGGAAAAATCATCAACTTTACGAGATATTACCTTTCATGGTTGTGATCTTCTTGAAGATGAACATCCCTTTGACGCTTTGATAGATCGTTGTAATCTTTCATCATTGACCCTGATCGATTGTAAAAATCTTCAAGGATCTCACTTTTCTCCTTTAACTCTCTCGATCGATAATAAATCCACCTTTACAAAAAAATTATTACCCTTAAGTTTAAATATCGCATTTAACATTCCATTACAATGTACATACATAAAATCCATTTTACCACCTCATAACTTTTATTTAACGAGACTTTTACTTAACGATATAATACAACAACCATGTTCATTAATCGATCACGTATCGACGTATTGTCCTAATTTAATCCATTTTAGGGCAAATATTTCGACTTGCATTTTACCCCAAATTCCTTCATTTTTCAAATCATTGAACAAATTAGAAATAATTGAATTAAATAATGAAAAATTAATTTACGAAAATTTGGTTCCTACTTTAATCACAAATGAGTTGGCGATAGAAATTTCCGAATCCATACCGAATTCTTTATATAATTTCACCTTTTTATTGATGGCAGTATTTACTAGTCAAAGTCTTTCTCTATTTCTTGAACGATTGGATGAAAGGTGCGTTGTGATGAGTGATGTTGACTATCCATATTCATACTATGATGATGATGATGATGAATACGTTGAAGTTGAAATGGGTGATGTGATATTTGAGAAATTTTTTATTAGGGTCGATTTAGAAGAATGGATGAGCGATAATATATATTTCAAATTTTTTGGAAATTTTGAGTGTACAAGGTACTTGGACGATGGAAATTCCCGCGTTTACCCTACTTATGTGGAATCTGATGATTAAACAAAAGAAATTACGTAAATTACTTGTGCAATACTTTTTTTTTTGTTGTTGTAGCATTTAAATTTTTATTTTTTTTATATTTCCATTCATGATGTACAAAGACTTCTCAATAAAGCATAGTGTAGTGATAACCAATCACCCATATAATAGAACTATGACAAATGATAACCACAATCATGTGAATGATTAAATGACTTGTTGAACATATTGGGACGTTGATAAAAGAAAAAAAAATCGTTTTAAAGGGAACATTTTTTCTACACCAATTCCTAAAACGGACTTCAATTCCGGTTCCAAAGCATACTACGGAATTTTAAAATATAATAAAATAAAAAAAAATACTTTTGTCAGCAAATAACTCATTTATGGAATCGGAATTCCATAAGCCTTAACCAGTCATGGTATGGTTTGATGTCATAGGGTACCCGTGTGACTTTTGCATAATATTTTGAAAGGCCTTTGGGATGTTAATTAAAATAAAATTAGTAATGATTTGGTCTTATCACAAGCATCAATGAGAAATGTCATTGTTTATAAAACTGTTAAAAAACTGATAATTTTCCCAAATTAGGTATCAATTACAATAAGTTATTGTCAATTCAAAATGGTAGTAGATTATATTATATATTTCGTGAGATTTTTCCATTTTTCATTATTTTTTTTTCGATCAAGTCTTCGTCATCTCATTTTCAAACTCGGAAATTGAGATAAAAAATTTTTTTCTTTAAAATTATAAAAAATTGCTCGTAATCTTCATTATTACTATTTAGTTTTACTTTTTTATTAAGAATTTACTATAAAAGAAAAAAAAAATGGAACAAAAATTGCAAGAGCTCAGTTTACAAACCAAACCACCACCCCCACAACCTCCACCACCACGACCCAACATAGGAACTAAGGGTACATCAGTACTACTTCGTGCTAATTACGTTAATGTTATAAAGGTATTTTCAAATCAATCTTAATTGATACATATATCGATTATTAATATTGCTTAAAATTCTTAAACCTTTTTCTTTCTTTTCCAATAAAAAAAAAGTTCCCAAATGTGGAGTTGACTCGGTATAATTTTGAAAGCTTTTCACCTCGTGGTCGGAAACCGAGTAAACCAGTCCGAGTAAAGATTTTTATGGAAATGATAAAACAAAAAATATTTGGCAATTGTTTGCCGGTGTATGATGGAAATGATTTGATCTATTGTTCAACTAAATTACCGATGGGAAACAGTAAAGAGGATAGTAAATTAGAAGTTTGTGTTGTCTATTTCATTTATTTCCTGCGTCTTTAAGAAAAAAAAGTTATTTATTTTATAATTATATTTAGGTTGTTCTTCCTCCAAGTGAAGATAATAATGGCAAACCTACAAAATTTGACGTAAAAATTAAAAATCCCACAAAGATTAATTTAAAATCTTTACAGGAATATATTAATTCGGGAAAAGTATCGGATAAATCGGAAAATGATATTCAAACTTGTATGAATGCATTGAATACTTATTTAAATTTCAAAGTCCGCACTGTCTTTTTATCAGTTGGAAGAGGAATCTTTCCTCCAGTAACTGACGTGCAAAGAACTCTTTTGGCTACTGGTGAGGAAATAAAAAAAGGATTCGTTCAATCTTTGAGAATAGGATGGGGTATGTTGATCTTACAGGTCACGTGTTTATAATTTTAGCTCATATCCGATTAATTCATTATTTAAAATTTGCTTACAGACCGTCTCCTTGTTAATGTTGACACGAGTTTTGGCATTTTTTATCCTCCCGGAAATGTCATGGATGTTATTGCAAGCTTCTTTTGGTGTGACAAAAATGATTTGAGGAATGGTATCCAAGATAATGATAGGATTTATTTAAATAAGGTGAATAAAAATATGGTAATGCTTAAAAATTTCATAAAAAAAACAAAATTAAAATTGAACATTGTTTTATAGTTATTAAAAGGAGTTAAGATTTACGTTTTGCATCGTGGTGAAAGGAAAAGAAAATATACTATTAGTGGAATAACGACGGCTTCGGCAGATAAAACCACATTTAAGCAGGATGATAAAGACATTACAGTTACTCAATACTTCCTAAATACATATAAAAAGAAGCTTGATTTTGGAAAACTTCCTTGTATTGTTGATGTCAAAAATTGTTATCTTCCTCTAGAGTGCTGCGAGATATTACCAGGTTGGATTTAGATAAATCTTCAAAAAATTCTTTATTTACCAGTTTCTTTTACTTAAGTTAATATCATTTTTAGACCAACCCTTCAAATTTACTCTTTCTGATGATGCTCGCGCTGAAATGATCAAATTTACTTGTATCAAACCGGCTGACCGTTTTAAAACAATTGATGGTTCATTTCGAAACTTTTTTCGCTATGATCAAGACGAGTTTATGAAATCTATTAATATGAATATTGATATTGAGACAAAGGTAAAAGTTACAGGTAAGGGTTAAAATTGCAATTTATTCATTATTATTTTTTTTTGTTTTAGTTTATGTTTTACAGTAAGCTATATTGATGAGATTTTTTTCATTTTTTTTAAGGACGTGTTCTTCCTAATGTGTCAATGACATTTCATAAAAGTAGTAGCCCTGCAGTTCAATTTATAGAAGGGGGACGTTGGAATCTTGTAAAAAGAAAGGTTCTTGATGTAAGTAAATATAAAAAGTTTATTTTAAATAAAATATTTTATGATTAACAACCTTTTTGCTAAACAAAATAAATCAGGGTCAGACATTAATTAATTGGTCAGTGTTAGTTTTGTCTGGCGATAATCAACATGTAGTAGGAGGATTCATGCGACAATTACGTGAAGTTCTAAACGAAAAGGGGATGGTAAAATTACAGAAATCATTTATACCCTTTTTTTTTTGTTATTATTAATAGAGATAAAATTTAGTAAATTATTTTTTAAATTATATTAGAATATTGCTAATGATCCACAAATAGTACCTTGGTCTATGCAGAGAGATATTAAAGAGGTAAATTACTTGTTAATTATTATAGTGTAATATTTTTCAATATATTTATTTTGTATTTATTGATTTTATAGGGATTAGTTCAGGCTATTAAAGTTAGAGCGGATCCACAAAAACCTCCTCAATTGATTATCGTCATAATGCAAGATCGTTCTCCATTATATGCTGAGATAAAACGTGTTGGAGAAACTGATTTGGGTGTGAGAACTCAATGCGTGTTGGCTAAAAACGTGAGAAAGCGTCAAAATGAACAATTTTGTGTAAATCTCGGATTAAAAATAAACGCCAAACTTGGAGGTAGAAATTTTAGTTTAACTCCTGGACAGATGGACTTTATTTCATCAGCGCCGGTAAGCATATTAATTAATATATGATCTCAAAATTCTAATTAAATTATTGATATTAATAATTTTTATTTATTATTATCTAGACAATAGTATTCGGTGCAGATGTTTTCCATTCAGGTAGAGGAGAAATGCATGTACCTAGCATCGCTGCCGTTTGTGCCTCTATGGATGCCAATGCCACACTTTATAGTGGTCGACATAGTATGCAAGTTGAACCACGTAATGAGACTATTGAAAATTTAGAGGGAATGGTGGTTGATTTATTAAAAGCTTTTCAAGCTAAAAATAAATGTCTCCCAAAGAGAGTTTTATTTTATCGTGATGGAGTTAGCGAGGGGCAATTTAAAAAAATCTTGGAAGCAGAAGTAGAAGGAGCATTGAAACGAGCCTTTAAAAGAGGATATGGAAATAATCCTCCAAAATTGACTTTTATTATTGTACAAAAAAGACATCACACAAAGTAATCCAATATATGACATTCTTTATATTTATTAATTTTTTTTTCATTTAATTATACTAAATTTTCTTTTTCATTAATTAGGATTCATCCAGATTCTCCACGTGATAGAGATAAAAATGGAAATTGCAAACCAGGAACCGTTGTCGATACAGGGATTGTTGCAAAACATGAATTTGATTTTTGTGAGTTTCTATTATTTAAATTATGTACTATCTAAAACACTTCAATAATTGTATATACCCACTTTTTTATAGTCCTACAATCTCATGCCACCCTTCAAGGGACTGGGCGTTCAGCTCATTATCGTGTGTTAAGAGATGAAAATGGTTTTGGTGCTGATGCTTTGCAGTTGTTAACGAATAATCTATGTTATTTAAATGCAAGGTTGGTAATAATTTGTTCACACGTCTTTTTTCCTTATAATAAATTTGTCTAAATATTATGTAATATTTTAATTTAGATGCACAACGGCTATATCAATAGTAACACCCGCATTCTATGCACATTTAATTGCAAATCGTGCGAAACAATATCTTGTTTGGGATAGCCAAGCATCAAGGTCATCAAATGAAGAAAAACCCACATGCCCAGCAGTGAAAAAGGAAATAGAAAATATTATGTATTTTATTTAAAATATTTCGAGAGAGAAATTAGATAATATAGCTTGATAACATAGCAATTCACAATTTAATATTTATAAATATAAAATTTTGTTTCAATGTCATGTTTTGTAATAAAGTTAAAAATCAATAAAAACCACTGATAAATGTCACATTATCGTTAACGATAAAGTTTATGTTATTGTCAATTTTAAACCAAATATTTTTTAAAAATTCGTTTGTTTGTTATAATGTTATTTACATACTTTTATTAATTATAACAACTATTTGATTTTATTCAAATATTTTAACTTGTAAATTACTCGTCAAAAGATTAAACTTTGAAATCAATATATTTATTTTATCACAAAAATGTACTTATATAAGGGTGGAGTGAGGGTGGGTCAACAATCAGGTCATCAATACTGCAAAAATGGACGTTCCACCTTTTCATAAATTTAAACATTGCTAATGTTAGAAAAAGCCGCGAGAAATTTTGTTTGATAAAAACTATCGCTCAACAAATAACCAGTCACAAAGGGTGTGTCACAATGATAAAATCATGAGAATAAACAGAGCTAAAAGATAAATATGAAATAATACAAGCTAAAGCTTAAATTTCTGTAATAAAAGAAAAGATCATTTTCCAGTTTTCGCATCTGGTATGTGGAATATTGTCAATACAAGATTCCGCGGTTTAGCAAGAAATGTTGAAATGGATGCATCAAAAAGGAACATAAGGGGCTTCTTGGTTTGAAAACTTGTCATCAAATTACATAAGTAAATGAACATGCGAGATCTATGTTAAGAAGAAAATGATTGCAAACGCAAACAAATCGCTATAACCTTTACTGATTTCCAAGTAAAGCATATGCCGCCGAAAATTGAAAAAGGAATTATTAGATCAGTACATACAGTATGAATGATTAACGATTTTTCTTTGCGAGCGCAATAGTGAATGAAATAATATTTTGGGTCGTAAATTGCATCCATTGAGGGGAAAATGGTAAGAATTTATTTATTCCAAATGCAAAAAAATATGACTATCAAAGTCAAAAAACTTCATTCCCCATTATTAATCAAATAAGTTTATGAAGTCGATATAAGATTTCCGAATCAAGAGATTATCAATAAGTTAAAGACAATAAAATAAAATAAATGCCAAAAGTATTACGTGGATTTCTTCCGTCACGCGAAATTATTGCAGTATGTTTGTTATAAACGAGAATTTTTTGCGTAAAGTTTGCAAATTATTAAGTTGCATTTCACTTATCATATTACTTTTAAAGTTTATAAACGATCTTTCCGAGAGAAATGGATGTTAAACTTAATTATACCTTTCATGTATTATATTATTTATTTAAGGTTAATGTTCGGTTAAATTTTTTTTTTTTTTTGAGTAAATTGCAAATAATCATATTTCGTGTAGGCTTCATCAAATCGTTCACCAGCCAGACTAATGGTAAGGACCAAGGGCAAACTCACCGAAAGAATTATGAGTATAGAAACTTCGTGCCTCTATTCGTTAATTAGGCATCTTAGAATCTGCGTTAAGGGTAAACATTTCATTGCGTTTCAAACATTGCCTTGAATCGAAAGATAATCCGCATTTTGCAGGTATCCTTTGGAGCTTTTGTAAATAATCGGTGCGTTCAGAGATCTCGACAAAACAAAGGTCATTATTGTATTTGCGCACCCCAGAAACAAGTGTCGTTTGATGATCAATAATTGTTTAAAGTGCCAGAATTTGTTGATGATGATGTTTCTAAAATAAGAATATTTCTTGGTATTAGATACATTTGCAAGCGACAAGGTTGCATCTTTTTTCATTTTTTTCATTAATAGATACGATCCCAAAGAACGTATTTTCTACGGAACTTGGTTTCATTTTTATTGGGAGATCGACTACAGTATTTTTATTACATAGCATAGCCAACTCTTAAAAATGCGATGCGAAGCTAAAATATAAAATTGCATGATTTGTGGATACGTGAAAAAACCGTTTATAACAATATGTACACTCGCTAATTTTTTACTTACTGTAATGAATGAACAATTAGATTGCACTTTAGTAAATTGGCAATTTTTTTCGAAATCTAACGTTGAAACTAAAAGTCCAAAGAAGTTTTTTTTTTCAATTTTAAGGTTTAACCCTCAATAAACGTACTTTGCGACATACATTTTAACTGGACCCGACTATGCATTAATGAGCTATGGAAAATTAGTACCATATAACGCTGCCTATAGTATCTTCGGGTTCACGAAAATCAATAATACCCGGGTATAATATTTAAATTTACGAATTAAACGATGATTTAATTTCCGTGCCGTGAGAAAATGTAATCAGTTTAACCTTTGTAGGTATAGTGTAGCGAGGTGACACTGAACCGGACTTTTTCGTGTTTTAATGCGTAATCGGAGTTAAAAAAAAAAATTTTTTTTCTCACAATAACAACAAAAAAAGAGTTTCTTTATCGTTTTATCCTTATTAATTCATGAATAACTTGAACAAAGATCATCTTTTAATTAAGAAAAAAAAAGGTGGATTTTTTCCTCCTTATTTCCGTTCTTTCATTAGACTGAACGGAAATTATTTATTTTTATTTAAAGCTTTTTTTGACGAAAAGATTTATTAACATTTTATTTCTTTTTTTTTTTTTTTTTTTTTTTTTTTAGAAAATGATTGTATATAGCAAGATAAAAAAATATTTTTTTCTAGAAAAAAATAAAATTAGGTTTTCAAACGATAACGCGACATTATAAAATATAGACGTAACATTCCGTAAATGAATTGGAAAGGGCTCTAATTATATAGTATATTTTTAAAATTTTTGCGTCTGTATAACTTTTAGTATATGCATTATTAACTGTGGCTTAATAACTACTACCCGAAATGAGTTAAACTCGGAATTATTCATTTATTTATTTATTTATTTTTTGATAAAATTTAAATAATTAAGAATCGAACGATATTTTATTTAATCAGTCCAGACGGAATGATTAAAGTTATTTTCTTAGACTTTAATTTTGTATCCACTTTAATAAATTGAATAGCCAAATTCATTTATAAAAATTAAATCATTGTTTAATTAACGACTTTCAAAAAAAGTATATGTACAAAATATTATTGCTCAAACGATAGTGTGACGATTAGGAATTCAAATGAAAAATAGCGGTGGTGTGACGTGTGTGAATAAAAGAATAAAGGATAAGTGATCGACATAAAATGACACAGATTACAGACAATGGATTGAATCATTACTTAAATCACATAACTATTCTGAATATAATATATCATTTTTTATACCACGGTTCCTAATCGTCTGTGACTTTTTTTACTGATATTTCACGGTATAATTGACCAACCATATAATAAAAGTTAATTTAATAATATTAAAATTATTATATTAAATTATTAAAAAACATTGTATACATAAAATAATTTTAATAACTTATTTTTGGATATTACAATTATTAAATGTTGGTAATCTATCTAAAGGATTTGAATAGGTGTTTGTGACATTGAATGATCTTATTATTATTAATATTATTTTGAAAAAATGAATAAATTCTTTTGTTTAGAAGATAATTTGATATTTGTAATATTAATCAATTTATTTAAAGTATTAAGTTGTTAGTTTTCATTGATTTTTTTATAAGCCCGAACTCCCTGAACACTTTTATGACTAGTATGTTGCATAATAACTTGTTCAGAAATTTCTTGATCTTATAAAATTTGTGTAGCAGTTTTTCATCCAGAATAATTCAAAAAGTAATCCAATAGGACTATCAATTTGAGTTTCACAACCAATTTTTTGCATAAATTTACTTAAACTATTTTTTTCTAATATGAGCTTTTCTATACTAATATCAGTTTCTGATCATAATGAATTAGGTTGCAAATAAAAATATTCATTAGCTGAAGATGGGCATTTAGATAAATAAAATTGAATATCTAAATATGAACCATTATTATCACTAAGTATTAAAATAATATGAGCCTCTTCTCCTTTTTAGATTATAATGTTCACCTTCACGCATAGCTAGTATTATAGATAAATGAAAAAATACCATATAAGAGGCTTTCAGAATTATTTGAATTAACTTTAGAATGTTGTAAAATTTGTTAAATTTGTTGAGGATTAATAGCTATTGAACCAGATTTTATACCAAATTCTTATTTTTACAGATCATATAATTTACCATGTAAAATATCATGTAAATAAGAAAACAGATATTTATCATGCAAATTAATATGTTAAATAGGTGAATGATGAAGAAAGTGTTTATTAAATGCATTAACAGCTTGCTTAACCGATGTAACTTTATATTTATTGTCATCTTTTTTTTTATTGTAGAGATAAATTCTACTATTTATTTTTAAAGTTGCGATATGTTATTAAATTCAGTCAAAGGAATAAAATAACTAGCATTATTACAAAATTCTTCGAATTTCATAGTCTAGCTTTTAGTAGTTTTTCAGTATTTTTTTACTTTTGCTTTTTTATGATAATAGGAAGCTTTTACTTAAGCAATATCTTGAAATTTGTTTGTAATAGAATTGTTAGAAATTAAACAAACTGCTGTTAGAAAACTTAAAAAGGTCATATTTATTGCAAAAGAAATTCTGCTATATTTTTACTTATAGTTAAAATGAAAGAGAAGGAAATAAAAATAAGAAAGTTAAAGTAAAAAAATTAGAAAAAAAAGATAACATTAAAAAAAGATAATCAAAAATTTATTCATAAATAAAAAAGTTAGTTGTATTATATAATATGACAATATAACAGAACTGTGATATAAAATAATTATTTCATGAAAATTTCTATAAATATCATAATTTTTACAACTATATTATAAAATTTATTGATATTTATAGATTCCCATAAAATAAATATTATATATACTGTATCATTATGAAATTAAGCAACCTTTTTTTATTATAGAATTGCTTAATTTCAGATATTATTTTTAATATCAAAACTTTAGTTGATAATATCTTATAATCTAGTAGTTATATAATGATAAATTAT